CCTCCAACCTAATAGCGATGGCCTCCAACCTGATAGCGATGGCCTCCTACCTGATAGCGATGGCCTCCAACCTACTAGCGATGGCCTGCAACCTACTCGCGATGGCCTCCAACCTGATAGTGATGGCCCCCAACTTACTAGCGATGGCCTCCAACCTGATAGCGATGGCCTCCAACCTACTAGCGATGGCCTCGAACCTGATAGGGATTCACAGTCAAGAGCCAGTGTGCCAGTGCTGCCCTTAGAGATTGCTGCGCCTCGTTTTTTGATGTTGTTGGGGACTGTGTCACGGTCATTCAAGAAATGCCGTTGGGCCAGCCTTGCCTTTGTTTTGATACAACGAATATTTTTCACACCGCGCGAGGCCCCCGAGGGCGAAGGCCTCAAGGCGGCCGTCTCGCCTGGAGCTCTCAGCGCTTGGTGGCTCTTTTTGCGCTTCTCTAAGATACAACGAATATTTCACACCGCGCCCGTTTCTGGGAAGAGTGCTGGGCCAGGAGGGCGAAGGCCTGAAAGCGGATGTCCACGAACTTTTTGACGAGAGAGACCGCCTGAAGGTTCTCGCATTACATGGTAGCAGCACATGGCGTATGCACCGTACCTAGTAACTCATGGCTCCGCGGCGTGGTCGGAAGATTGCGCGCCGTTCTTCCGCAGACATTGTGCAAGCAGAAGCGGTGATCAGTCGAGTGCATCAGCGGCGCAGCTGGCTGACTGAAAGCTGCCGACTGAAAATATATGCTGCTCTTGAAAGAAAAGGTGTAGAGGCGTTTGGCTCGTTGCAGGCACTGCCGTCGACGGCAAATGCTCCGGAAAAGGAAAGCCGCAGCGAAGTCACTGCCGCAGTCGGAACAAACCCGGCGGAAACGGTTTCGGTCACGCGTCGGCGCAGCAGTCAAGGAAAGAGACTCCTGGGGAACTGTGTCAATGGCGATTGCGTGTTACAGCAATCTTCGTCAGTTGGCTCAGAGACAGCTGTACCTGGATGGCGGCATTGCCTTAGACGTGGAGTTACGTGGTGGAAGGGCAACCTGGCTGCTTGGCGGCTCTTTTTGCGCTTCCCTAAGATACAACGAATTTTTCACATCGCGCCCGTTTCTGGGAAGAGTGCTGGGCCAGGAGGGCGAAGGTCTGAAGGCGGATGCCCACGAACTTTTTGACGAGACAGACCGCCTGAAGGTCCTCGCCCAGCAGCTAGCGCTACTTGGCGGCACGGGTCATCGTCGTGGCGTCGTCGCGTCATCGCCCTGAGCCTGCTGTTTTATCAAATCTAGTAGCCAGTTGATTTACCCAATATTTAACTCTTCAGTTCACGAAAGGTAGCCCTTTAGGGGATACCTTGAGTTTGACTTGCGAAGCAAGTGTCGGCGAGTCCGGGTCTAATAATTGATCATTCAATTCAACCCCCCCCCCACCCC